CAGAGGCCATGGCCCAATTTTATTTCCCTGTACACTTACAAATATACTGGGTGGCACCATTTGAAATTTGAATACAAAGGGCTACATGGCGACCAACCTATATGCCGGGCCTACCTGTTGCCACCTGGGAGCAAGCCCATGACTGGGCCTGCTAGAGTAGTAGCTGCTACAAGCCATCCATGATCTCTGATGAATTCATGATTGAGCCACCTTTATTTGAATTTGAACCTGCCGCTTGCCACCAACTGTTTGCCTAGCTTCAAGTGCACTCATTGTGCTATCCAGACTATTTCACCTTCCATCGGTACTTACGTGTGGTTGTGAGGCCTGAGCCTCCACACGCCATGCCCCGCACTAGTGTTGTTCCCCGCGATTGGTTGGTTGGCCCAAAGTTTTTGTTCCTCCCCTCATAATTTTTTGTTGGCTTAAAAAACCTGAATGCTAAGTGTGATAGTTGAAATCCTCCAAGTGGCACAAATTTGTATAAGGGAGCTTCATTTCTTCTTTTTTGTCATGTTAAGGGAGCTTCATTTCTTCATGCATTGAGCCCTTGACCGGTGCACATGTAACAACTTGGCAGTTTGATAAGCCTCGCCCACACGCCCTTGTTGGGGGCTTGGCCAAGAACTGGCAAACTAGATCCTCGTACTTCCAAGGTTCGCATCCCTCTCCATGAGAAGTTTAGATATTCAAATTGAGGCGGCTTAATTCTTAGTGGGTTAGAGAGCATGCAACTTGAAATGACTATGCACATAGGCTGGCTGCCAGATGGATCTGGGCAGGCCATGCATGATGGCTGCAAGGTGGCCCCTGTATTTGAATATCAGATAGTGTAACTGATTCAGGGTCTTCACAAATTCCAGGCCCAGGCCATTGAGGGGCCTTCAGTTTAAGTACAATTCTAAATCTATAGAGTAATAAAATTGGGCCACAAACCTTGACCCTCTTGTGCCCCTTTGTGTGTGTGAGGCTCAACTTAACCCCCAAGCAGCCAGCGTTAGGAGCCAAGGTTGCACAGTTAGGCCATAAAAAGACTAGCCCTATGACACCTCAACAGTGCAATGGTTGGTGCTGCGATTACTTGGAACAATGATGGACTACTACCATGATCTATCTCGTGCCATTGACCTTGGGCAGTCCATTGAGGAAGTTCATAGATAGGCTAATCCGAGGACCTTCAAGGATTGGGAGGGGCTTGGGTTGCCTGGATGGCCTTTGCTTGTTGGCCTTGTCCTGCTGAAACTTCAGACAAGTTTAATGTAATGCTCCATGACCTACTCCATTTGCAGCCAATAATAGTTCTTAACCAGGAGAGCATATCTCAGCCTAGGTTGCCTGAATTGAATGGAAACCGTCCACAATGTCTCCTGACCCATTGTTAGTAATTAACTACCCCTACGATGGAGCATAGCTCGTGGATGCCTTTGGGCTGCAGCCACTCTAGAATGTCCCAGACCTTCCTGGTCATTCATCTCGATTACTCCCTTGCCCACTTGATACTAGAATAACATAATCTCCTTCTGAGCAAAGATATATATTTCCATCTTTATATATGGCCATTTGGCCCTTAGCCTATCTAGCACTAGCCTTAGATGCCGAACATGGTCATCTAAGGTCACCATAATATTGTCCAAGTACACCACCTAAAGGACATCTATGTACTCATCAAAAATATCATTCATCAAGTGACAAAAGGCTGTCGGCGCATTGGTTTAGCCTAGAAGGCATTATAAGAAAAACGAGCCATACCGGGTGACACATCCAGTCTTTTCTTAATCAACCTCTATCATGTGGACTTGTCAATGCTTGAAGCGTAAGTCCAAGCATTTTGAAATATCGGACGCATTGCTCCTGAGGCGGTCGAGGCTGTTCCCCAAACTGAATTGGCCTAGGCCATGTTGAAAGGTGACCCATCAGCACCTAGTTGGTCTAGGCACCTGCCTTCGCCTTGGTGCCTAGGCAAGTGCCTCTAATATAATACTTTTATTAATATGATATAATATTGTACTATTATTAGTAACAAATATAGTAGTATATTAAAAGTTCTGTACCATTGTGCAACATTTAATAATATACTATTAGTACCATATTAAAAGTTCTGTACCATTGTGCAACAGTTAATAATATACTCTTAGTCCCATAGTAAAATATATTACTATATTATAAACAATAGTATAAATATATTATGATATTAATATACTAATAATATCATGTCAATGTAACATTCGTAGTTCAAGTATTTATTAAATTACCATCCATTATGCACTTTGCAATACCATATTTGTATCATAGTACAAATATATTAATTTATCATTGATACATGTGTCAATACTGTTACTACATGTCAATGATGTTTCTTCAAAAAATAATATATTATTGGTATTATAGTACAAATATATTGATATATTATTGACTATCAATACGGAAGTACAAAGTTATTAATATAATACTAGATAATAGTATTAATTGCAGTACAAATGTGTTGGGATATTACTTTCTCAAAAAAAATGTGTTGAGATATTGATATATTATTTATTGATACATGTGTTAATGCGCCAATGTCAATACATTACTAATACATGTGTCAATGATGTTTCTTTAAAAAATTTAATATATTATTGGTTTTATACGTACAAATTCTATTAATATATTATCTATCAATACTAAAGTATAAAATTATTAAATATATAACGGGAAAGTATATAATGAGACCATTTACCTTTAGTACAAGAGGGTCACCATTGATTTTGAGCATTGGATGTGAAATTGGATGGCCGTATTTATTCCATTGACCAAGCTCAAACTTCAAAAGAAATTTTCTTGAACTTTGTGACAACTAAGCTATCAAATTTCACTTCGAATAGCTATAAATAATTCTTACCTCCCTGTATCAAAGATAAATGGTCTCATTGTATAATATCACTATTAACTATAGTACAAATGTATTAAGGTATTAATATATTGACAATATACTTGACAATTTTAAATTAATCAGATATTTATATATATAAATATATCAACATACTCATAAGCGAGGAAATATTTAAGATTGTGTCCATTTGCAAGTATTCCAACTCAAAACTATGTGCTTTTTACTTTTTTTTTTCTTTTGTGTATTTTGGAATTAAATTAAAAGATATGGGTAAAGTGTTAAATTCTTATTCTCATAAGGGTTATTTGTTAAATTTTCCTAGACATTTATACATATCTCAACACACACGCACACACACATATAATCATTGTCCGAGTTTTTATCCCAACTATTGGAATCTGCTACACGAATCCTGGTCCTCCATTTTACCTAACATAGGTTCATGATTCATGAAAGATGTGGCAAAGTTTTATGTAGGCTGCCCTACCTAACACAAGCCCCCTCCTTTATCTAGGTTCGGGACCGGCCAAGGTAGGGTTTGTTATATATACAATGGGAAGGAGTGTTTTAAGTCCTACATTAGATGGGTGACCTGCCATCCAGAATTCTGGTCCAGATATGTGAATTGCCGCTCTGGATCTGCAAATTGGTGTTTCAGATCACCGTTTGTGTGTGTATATATATTTAGCTGGGTGATTTTATGCGACTGTTTCATCGTAATATAATTAAACCCCTCATTTAAAAAAACTATGTTGGAGGTATTTATGTGATCCTAAATTTTGTATACGTCTCGTCATCCTTGAGATCAATCTCCAAAAGAAAAAAATTGAATTTGCGCTCTAGAAAAGGTTCATATGACTCACGTTCCAACAATGAATGCCTGTTGTCCTTTTGGTGGGATTTAGAACTAGGCCTGTTGAATAACTCAAAATTACACACACATGCATACATATTTAGTGGGGTGATTTTATACGATAGTTTCATAGTAATATAATTAGACCCCTTATTTAAAAAAACTATGTGGGGGTATTTGTGTGATCCTAAATTTTGCATACATCTCGTCATCCCTGAGATCGATCTCAAAAAAAAAAAAAGAAAAAAGAATTTGCACTCGAGAAAAGGTTTAGATGACTCTCGTGCCAACAATGAATGTTTGTTGTCCTTTTGGTGGGATATAGATCTGCGCCTGTTGAATAACTCAGAATCAATTTTTTATCTTTTGATATTGTTTCATCTGATTATGCAAAAGCCATTTACAAAAGTTGGTGTTAAAGAATCCCCCTAAGACTCAGATCAAACTTTCCGATCAAATGGATGTCCTTCGTTCAATTGTGTTAACAACAAACTTTCCTGTTTATAGTGTGCTTTTGAGAACTTTAGTTTCTGATATTGATCTTTGGGATGAAGAGGGTGAGTTTTGTAGAATTTGTGTCATACAACTGCCTCTAACATGGTTTTTGAAAGTGTCGTTTCATTATATTACTATAGAACCGTTGCATATCTATAACAATCACGCTAATGTTTAGATCTAACAGAACCCATGAAATGGGTTCTTCATTGTGCTAAAATAGTTCACTTTTTACAGTATGCTTTCAAAATTTTATTTTTTGACATTGATTTTTGGGATGAAGAGAGTGGGCTTATGCTAAATTTGGGGTCATAAAAATGTGCCTAACATGGTTTTTGAAGCAGCTGTTTTGTTATATTACTGTAGAATAATTCCACACGCGCACATAAAAGGGAGGGATTTCATGCTATTGTTTCATGGTAGTAATGAAACCAGACCTTTGAAAACTATGTTAAGGCCATTTATTTGACCCTAAATTTTAAATATACACTCATTTCATTCCCAATGAACAATTTAAACCACGATCTAGCTTTTATTTTTATTATAGCATTACAAAATGATTATCATGTTTTATGTTTCCTTTTCTTTTTTCAACTTTTTTCCCCAAGATATTGTAGAAAGCCAAAAGTTGAATATTCCAAAAAGTCTCTTCTCTGAGATTTCATGTTTTGGGAGCCGAATCTGTCACACTATGGGCTTTGATTTGGGGTTGTAGGAAATACTTTGAATATACTAACATGATTATGAGGGATTCGGATTAAGAGAGCGCGAGGAATGACAGTGTCTTCTTTACTGGTTTTGTAGATCAACCATTGTCCATTCAAACACCATTCCTCCAAAGGAACAACCGCAAGTCCCTGTGGCGTCATTGTCGAGTGAAGGGCGTCCCCATGTGCATGATGGAGCATGTAATAATAACCCCAGCTCTAGAGATGCAGAGAGGATGATCTCCACTGGCATCGTACCCCCTAGGACTTCACAGGCTTCCCAAAGGATTTCACATGGTATGCTTGAGACAACCGATGCCCCTGTAAACATTTTAACATTTATTTAGCAGGGTAGTGTTGTTGAAAAACATTTGGCACTTATCATGGATTCAATTGTGTGTCTCTCTCTACTCCCACCCCCCTCCCCTCACCTCTATCTCCCTCTTTCCGGGGTTATGCTAAAGAGACATCCTACTCTATTCATTAAGGCCATTTTAGTGAGTATGAATACAGTTCAATAATCTGAACTGATGGAATAACTCTCTCTCTCTCTCCAGGAGCTGGTGTTGCAAAACCAGGCAAAGTTGTTTATGAGAATGGGAGTACCACGAAAGATGCTTACGATCCACGAAGGTTCATTATTAGGAGTGCCGTTCTTCCTCCTCAAAATACACTTAATCCTGCCTTTTCTGGCTACTCACGCCAGCTAGTGCCCAAGTCCCAAAGGGAAGAAGAGGTGAGGACCTCCAACTCATCTCAACAGCAACAACCGCGACAACACCAGCACCACATGTCCAACCATAAAGGCCCAGTTTCAGGTGATGTAACCATCGACATCAGTACTTCTAACCCCTTCTGTTTCTCGAGACTGACCAGCAATGGCAAGGCAGCAGACGCCGGTGAAGACGCAACTGCAATTTTGCAGGCCAAATCGCAGTTCAATGGGATGGCAGCTGCAGCTGCTGCTGCGGCTTCTAGGCAAGTTGGCGCTGTTCAGTATGGTATGTCAAGGATGTATTAAGTGAAGCCATCATCATCACTGTTTTCTTCCATGTTGTAATATTGGGAAATTGTTGTATTAGGCGTTAAGACTTTTTATGCCATCCGTCCCCACGAAAAGGTAGAGGAAAGGAAAGGAAAGGAAATGAAAACATAGGAAAAAAGGTCTATTTGTGATGGATGAATTTGTCCATTAGTTGTTTCCTTCTAGTCTTTGGTGTTTAAATTATGACGTGTCCTCTGGCTGGTTTGTAAGGGGGAGGAGGTACAGAATTCAAAGGAAAATTTGAAGGAAAAGGATTTGTTTGGCTCAAGCTGAAGCCCTAGTGAAATTGGAATTTAATTTACTTTTGGAATGTTTTGTTGCTGTTAGTTTAGCAGCTAATCTGCATATGTACGCCCTTACGATCACCTTTTGTTTGTTTACCATGGATGACTAATGATGGTGACTTCTGAGTAACAGAATATAAGCAAGAATATAAGCAGTGGTGCTGGATTTTGTGGACTAGTATTTGGAGTGGAGTTCATCATCATCATAGCCATTTCCCAATTAATTGTTGAATTTTGTGGATTAGTATTTGGAATGGTGTTAAATCTTGTAAATGTGAGAAGGTCGTGGCAGGAAATATTTTGGAATCTCCCCCAACATTCAGGTATTTTGCCCATTTCCTTGCTTGTGGATATATGTTTGTGTGTTCTCACCATTAGTTGACGTCCTTGAAAAAGGCGGCGCAAGGTAAGTTTATATAGAGTATAATTTAGGGCTCACGCCTTAGCCTGAAGCTTGGTTCTTTTAGATGCCTCAGGTGGGTGTTGGCAGCATGTTGAACTGAGCAGAAGAATGTAATGGGAGGTAGCTGAACAAGAGAGATAAGAAAGAGGTGACAAATGACGTAAATTCGTTATTTCCACCATAACAACTCAGTAAAATTAGTTCTTTGTTGCATAAAGGCAGTCCACATTGGTAATCTTAGACATCCATACATTTGCACAAACGAAAAATAGTACGTCGACGATGGCCATCCAAGGAACAGAGGACTGCTCATCCCCAGCAAGTGTCAACTCCTTTGATACTAACATCTGTCGACGATGGCCATCCAAGGAACAGAGGACTGCTCATCCCCAGCAAGTGTCAACTCCTTTGATACTAACATCTGTGTTTTGTAAGCAAAGCCGTCACTTGTCGCATTGCCTTGGTCTTTTGTGTTACGGCTCTTTGGCCAAATTTGAGTACTGCTGGCCTCGGTGGATCGACTTCTTGTTTTTTCAGTCCACGGCAGCCAAATTCGGTTCTGTTGTGGCGCTTGATGCTGCTCGGTGGTTGAACAAGAAGAGAGAGTAGACAAGAAGAGAGAGTAGAGCACTCTCGTGGTCAAGAAAGGAGTTGTAGGGCTATGCTATGTCTGACTTCCACTCTCGCTTCTTCTTGGGGCAATCCAGGACCCACAGGGATGGATGGTTGGTCTTGCGAGGGAGCATGGAGGGAGGACAACTCTCAACTTCTCCAGTCCTCACTTGAAATGAAGTTGAAGGCCATTCACTATTATATACCGTATTAGAATTTTAGATGAGAATTGGCCGCAGCTCCCAATTGAGTTTATACAAACCTCTAAATTTTTCCATAAATATAATTTTGGAATTACATTTTTTTAAGATGGCTTAAGAATCCATTTTCATCCCTTATAAAACTTTAAACTCCAAAATTAGTTCAAATCAGGTAGTTCTACAAACTTTTCACGGGCAGTTTTGGTCTTTCACCGTGGTGAAATAGCATGACGCTGTGAAACGCTTTCACAAGCTAGGCTTGGTTTTTCTACATTATATATATTAGGGATTGTATACAAGAACATTTATCTTTGGTACAAGAATGTCACAATTATTTACAACCATCTGATGTAAAATTTGACAGCTTGAGTTGGAGAAAATTTCTGTTGAGCTTTAAGTTTAGCCAGTGAAATAAATGCAGCCACCCAATTTCACATCCAATGGTCAAGATTAATTGTGACCACTTTGTTTCAAAGATAAATGGCATCATTATATACTTTCCCTGTATATTATATCATTTTTTTGCCTTAATTGTACATATACAATTTAATATTTTTATATATGCTCGATCTTATGATCTACTGTCCCTCTTTTTTCTGTTATTTTTTTTCACCGTTTTTTTGCTTTTTTCCCTCTCTCTTTTTTCTCACTATTCTTCTCCCATTCTTTTTCTTATTCTCTCTCTCTGTAACCCTCCCCTAGCTTCATTCTCTCCTTCCATGTTTTCTTTCTTGCTCTCTTTTTTGTACTCTATTAAATCTTTTTGGTCTCTACCTGTTGTGCTTATCAATTATCTCCCTCCTCCTTTTCTTCTCTCGTCCTATTTAGATCTTAGGTTTTATTTATTTATTTTATTTTATTATTATTATTATTATTATTTTTTAATTTTTTAAATTTTTTAAATTTTTTATTTTTTAATTTTTTTATTTTTATTTTTACCTTTACTATGCCCTTTTTAGCTCTTCCATTCCGGTCTCCCTAGCTCGGTTATCTCCTTCTCTTTCTTCTAGAGAGGCAATAGATTGTGCTTGTATTTTTTTTTTTTAGGGGGTGGGGGGGGGGGGGGAAAGCGTTCACCTCTTCCACTCCCCACCCTCTTCTTTTCCACCTCTACCACTTTTCCCATTCCCTCATCTCTCTTCTCCCCACCTTTGGTTAATACATAAGACGAGATTCTCCCCTTCTTCTTAGGATCAATATTTTGTCATGGTTTTCTATAGGGCCTTTGGGTCCCCTTTGGAGTATGGAGAATCCTGTATCGAATTTGGTTAGCGACTAAGATAGGGTAAGGCTAATCAGGTCGCCTTAAAGAGTTTTGTCGTGGTCTTTCATATTCCCTTTTGCAGGTTTGAAATTCCTATGTGCAGCATGATATAAATGCTTTGGGGAGTAGCTAGAGTTGGTGTCCTCCCCATTTTCTTTGCTCTGGCCTTTCTGTATTTTTCTCGGTCTTTTGATAATCTCTCATGTTTTCTCATTCTCAACTGCTTCTTCATCAACCTATCTTTTTTCCCTCTTTTTAGTCATTGGCTGTGTGTTGCTGCACCATCCTGTTGGATTCCCCCAAAATGTGATACTGAATTAACCAATTAAGATGTTTAAAGAAATAAGACTCCAAATGAACAACCAGATGACAACACACTCGGGGCCAAATTCGTCCATGCATTTCATATAATAGAAATACGGTTTTATATATATTACTGGGAGTAGACAAGTTCTAGATATTTAATCCTCTGTTACAATTTATATTAGCTTAAACTAGACCAAATACCCTTGATTCGGGCCTTGAAACCTAGACATTCGATTCTAAGAAAGAACATTTACATTCATACATAAATGAAAATAATACCATGGGCAAATGGGCCTGTATACCTGAACTTAAACACATGGGTACTGTCATATGATCTACTCCTCTTCAAGATCGGGCTTCTCTCTTTATTAGACACGATTGAAAAAATAGTCATATACGGGAATGCTTCTTAGCGTGCTGCAAGTACAATCACACTCTATCTCTAATGCACTAATTTTAATCCAGCCAAAATCGAACCCCTCTCTGATTGAGAGACAAGGTTTATATAGGCATTTGCTAATTGATAACAATGATATCATCATTATCTATCTGTCAATCTACGTCTTTATCTTCACTCACTGGTCTTCCAAATGATAATCATGCAATTTGAATGGATTTGAATTCACACACATGTGTCTTCTGATGATAATCACACATCATAGTCAATGCTATTTAATTTTGAACTCCCAGCCTCCAATTCCAGCAAGGACTTCGCATGAGAAAAATAATGATTCTATTACTTCTTATGGAACGTCGGTTAGGATTTTGTAGCACAATCTTAACATGTCTTCGTATTTCTTCAACCACTTTCTGCTGATGAATCCTTTGATTATGAAACTTGGAGAGATGAAAGAGGACTCGAAGATGAACACAATGGTGCAAATCTCACCTTAAATAGATCCTAGATGAGAGAGATCTAGTCCGTTCAACTTAATCTATTTTTGTTGAAAATTGTGTCAGCAAGACTAGTATAGTGCGGGTGCAACTGCTTCCTCATCAATGATTATCACGCTACCACACCTTTTAAGTGTAATAAATCATCGAGTCAGGAATCCAATGGTTCTAGTCTCATGAGAAAATTCCTTTTATATAGAGAGAAATCTCAATTTTGGTGACAAGGCGTCATCCTGGCTTTGATAGACGGTGTAGAGCCTTAAAGCTCTTAACAACCACTGGATACAGATGATGGGTTAAGTAATCTCTGATTGATATGAAAATTTAGGGGATGAATATCATTCCTCAAATATGAATTCCTATAAGTCTCAGCTTAATCCAAAATATAAAGTTTTAGGGTTTCAGACAAGGCATATCTTAACTGACAATGTATATGGACGCTGGGTTTAAGTCAATTCTGAATATGGATTGACGATGGATTAAAAGAATCATATTGTGTCTCATCAAGACTTCGCCAATATCATTTGGAGAGGCATTTATGAGCTATAAGAGTATATGTATCCCAGAGTTTCATCTTAAATTGAAACATCTTCATGATTTCTTATCATCGATCGTTAGTCACGATGCAAATGTGTGACCGACGATGGATTGGGAAGCATATCATTTTTCCTTATCAAATTCCTCCACCTATTACATGGAGAGGCATATAGGGGCCCTAGGAGTGTGTGTATCTTAGAATTCATCTCATACTGAGATTGGTTTGATATCTTCTATCATCATGCGTTAGTCGACCAATGTCTGATTGGTATCATATTAAATATCTTCAATATCTTGTGAAGAGGCATTTAGGAGCACATGTATCCTAGAATCTGTACTATATTGAGATGGTTTGACTCCCTTTGCTATTATCAGTCGTAAGTCGAAACATATGGGGGCTGACCGATGACTCAAGACTATGAAGGCATATTGGGGCCTTCATATCATATCTACTCATATCTTCATATTATATCAGAGCCATATCATACCTTCATATCGTATCAGGAGCATATCTTGGGAGGTATCCTCAAGTACCCAGCTTATATCTTATCCATTGTTTGTTAAGACAATTATCCAATGTCCGTCAAGGACTTTGCCTTATAATGATATCTTTAACATTCCAACCATCGGTTTAGAACGAGCTAGTCTCATATGGATACTAAAAACATATTCAACAACCAAGGAATATCTTCAAGGTTCTAAGCATATTAAGCTCATGTATCTTATATGTTGTCTATTATGATATTTGTCTGATGTCCGTTAAGACCCTTGTCTCATAAATCAATCTTTCAACCTTATCTAGCATCTGTCAGAATGTACTTAATTTCATATGTGATTAAAAATACATCTAACAAAACCACCCAGGGCGTTGCATATATGGGAGAATCCCAAAAGGCGTGTAATGTCCAATGATTTTTGGGTGAGTTTATTGACATCGCATATCATCTTCATTATGGCCA